AGCAGTAGTAGCAGCAGTAACAGCAGTAGTGTCAGTAGCAGTGACAGCAGCAGTGGCGCGGCTCGGTAGGGCGGCGCGGCTCGGTAGGGCGGCGCGGCTCGGTAGGGCGGCGCGGCTCGGTAGGGCGGCGCGGTTCGGTAGGGCAGCGCGGCTCGGGCCGGGTGACGCGGTTCGGTGGGGCGGCTCGGCTCGGCTAGGCGGCGGCTACTCGAGGTGGGGCACGCGAGGGCGTGCAGGGCAGAGCGGGGCCGGTCCGTACGGGGCACGAAGTGGCGAGCTAGCGAGGGCGGGGCCTGGTCGCACGGGGCACGCAAGGGCGGGCTAGTGGGGCGGGGCCTGGTCGCACGAGGCACGCAAGGGCGGGCTAGCTGGGCGGGGCCGGTACGCGAGGGGCACGCAAGGGCGCGCGGGTGGGTGTGGGCCGGTCGCACGGGGCACGCAAGGGCGTACGGGGCAGCGAGCGCGCAAGGGCGCGCGGGGCAGGCGACGCGCGTGGTGCTGCGCGGGTCGCACGCTAGGGCGTACGAGGTGGGCGGGGCCGATCGCACGGGGCACGCTAGGGCGTGCGGGCTAGGCGGGGCCGATCACGAGAGGCACGCTAGGGCACGCGATAGTGAGGGAGAGAGGAGGGCGCTCGAGGGCGCGACTAGGCGAGGCGCGCTAGGGCGCGACTATGCGAAAACGGTGGGCCCTATCGTTCGGTCCTAGGTTACGACCTAGGCTCGTAATACCATGTTAGAAACTGAGAGAGAACGAGAATGAATGAACTAGCAGAAAGTTGGGTACAAGTAGGAAACCCTAAGTTTGTTGTACCCCCTATGGCTAAACCCACTATAGCCTACACAATATAAACATATAATGTTTGACAGCCACTTCGTACACTTGCTGGAGCGAGGCCTCTCGACCCATCTTGAAGACTTTGCTCCTCAGCTCTTTCACCATACTCTGGTCCAGTCCATTCAGGAACTTGTCGATCAGTCGCCTCTCGTCAGAGCACTCCATGTCCAGCGCTAGCTCGCGCAGCCGTCCGAAATATCCCAGCAGGGATTCCTCGCTCTTCCGTTCGAATAACGCAAACTCACGAATCTTCTCCAGTCTGCATGTGTGACGTGTATTATCGTCAATGTTTAGCCTAGGGTTTTGTTTTTTACACGGACCCGCAAACACTTAACGCGTTGAGTGATATCAGTTTGGAAACGACAATATTTTCCTGTCTATGATGCCACAGCGAAATGGGAGACATATTGAGGGAATGCGCTGGCACGAGTGTATCTGGACTTGAACTCACGTTCCCTCGTGTCAGCGCATCAACACTTCACCCGTCCGCTGTCCACATTCCTCGCTACAGTTCATGCGCCAGCTTCGCTGGCATGCTGCCAGCTTCGAGAACTTCCGTGCCTCGCTCGCCACGCATGCTGCTCCACTTTGCTTGTTGCACCGTCCTGCTCGCTGAACTGTCCTTGTTTAGCGGTCTTGTTGTCGCGTTGTTAAATTCGATGTTTTTTTCAATACCCTGCCATATACGGTACACTGTTAGCGTTGGGTGTATTGTTTTGGAGCATTCGAAAGACTAGATGGTTTTCAAACAGACCAGAAGGCAGCTTGTTCGAAATAAATCTTTGCCTGCACTCTCTAGCGCTGCTGAGTATGTTATCTAAACAAGTCGAAAAGCAGGTACCAATACCTGAGACCTCCTCAAAAGTTTAAGCTAAGTGCAATTTGTTACTGCTCTTGCAAAGCGTAGGAGTGGTATACTTAGCTTTTTTAATAGCTCAGGGTGAATCATCTAGCTGACAAGACAAACCAAACAAACGTTTACCGCTGTTTTGGTTCCAAGAACCTTGAGTCCCAGCCGAGCTTCTCATCCATCCTCGTCATCCCAATATTTTTTTGCTCATTTTTCAGCTTCATGCTCCAAGCCTGTGAGTGGGCGCTTCTGCAACCATGGCGGTTGGCGTACCAGCGGAAATCATGGAGCTGCAGCATAAGCGATCTCGTACATCCAACAGGAGGCTTGAAGGGTATGAGCTCGGTAGCCCATCAACACGCCCTCGTAGAAATTCCATCCCGGACCATCAGGTGGGTAACGCGAGCACTCTGCCTCAGGAACCGCCACCTCTACAAGACCTCGGGGCCCTTGCGGCCGAACATACCGCGGTCGAACACACCGCGGACAACGGCGATGCATCTCCTCACAACGGTTCGAACGCCACGGCACCGCTTGCGCAACGTGGCGATGCTACAAATGTCGTCGCATCTGCTGGAACTGGCGGTATGTGTGTAAATGTTATTTTATTGTTCAACCGTTAAATGTGCCATTTGATCGCATGTTTTATCTTTGTCCCGCCACTTCTTGTTCTTGCTTTATTAACTTTGTTTTCTTTGTTTCTATTACCCTAATGTTTCCAGCTGTGCCCTCATCAGATCGACGCTGCGATACGTGGCGAGCTGAAGGATGTTCGCACTCTGATGCTGCGCATTGAAAACCGCCTTCGTGTGGCCAATGAAATCCAACAGACCTTGGCTACAACCGTTAAGAGCCTGCTTGCGATCGTGCACCACCCGAGTTGGTGGAACGAGAATGCGATGGAAGTAAGTTCGATGTTTTTTTATGTGTGTTTGATTCTTTCTGTTCTTGTGCAATGTTTTAACCAGATGTGGTTCTACTCGCAAAATACTTGCAAGAAGGCCTGCGACGATCTTCTCAGGGGCTCTGACGTGTCTCAGCGCGTTATCTACCCTGATGAGGATCAGTTTAAAGCCGCCGTCGTGGTGCACCTTGCGCTGGAGCCGGGGGATTTCGGCAAATTGGAAGAAGGGGGAGTGGGCGAAGAAATGCTTGGACATTTGCATCGGTCGCCGAGGGAAGGTTGGGAACAAGTCTCGGCTCGCGAGCTTCCGCCTTCTTAAGTACCCTGATGGCAAAGCTGTCAAGGATTCCCTTGAAGATCGGCGAGCTTACGCGCGAGCTTGCGTCTCTGGTAAGAGTCCTTAAATCGAGTTTTTTCTGTTCTTAAAATTATTCTGGTCCGACACTTTGGTTTTTTTTTTAAGAGGAATTTGGCCTGCCATGGCATGCTGTGGATGGCAAACCTTTTTGTAGCGAGGCTTTTTTAGCCGCTGCAAGCAAGTGGCAGAAGAAGGAGGGGGGTGTCTTCTCTCTCAGCATTGATCAGCTCTGCTACACCCTGGTTGCTGTGAGTATCCATGCTGATAACTTGGGTCTTCGAATTTTTTTATCTTGTGTTCATTTCTGATGCTTTTGTTGTGTGGCAGGTGGAGTTTGAGATGCTCTCTTGGGAACGAAGCAGCATGTTCCCGGACTCCGAGTCTAACACCCATGAAATGACGAAGAGAAAGGCCCAGGTTGATATCAAGAATAGAACTAGGAATGAATGATTGAACTAGGCAAGAGATGAGTACAAGTAGGGGAAACCTAACCCTAAAGTGTTGTACTCACTAAGGAGTGACCCTACTGTAGCCTAGAGACACAATTGTAATTTGACACACCCCCAAAGGCAAAGTAGGGGATAGCAAACACAACAAGCGGTCACAAGACCAGTCTGCAGAAGAGAACACAGCTCAGGGTGGATCACAAGGTCACCACGCATTCTGAGCACAAGCAAGTGGCCACAAGGCCAGTTCACATGCAGAGGTATATAATAGCAAGGCAGTACACTGATCACAACCTAGCAAGAGAAAACATGCAGGTATAAAGATATATAGCAGTGTACAACAAGAGCAAGTCAAGCAACAAGCAGGTGAGGCAGAGTGGGCACAAGCCCAAGAGCAGTGCAGAAACGGTGATGATCACCAGACCCAAGGGCCTTGGTGAAGACATCAGCAGTGTTGGCCCGAGAGGCCACGAAAGCAAGGCACAGCTGACCACGCTGCTGCAGCTCACGCGCAAGGAAGTAGCAAAGAGCAATGTGCTTCGTTCGGTGCTCCAGTCTCTGCTCACGACACAAGGCAAGCATTGCCTTGTTGTCGACGTACAGAACTGGAGGAGAACGAGGCCGCTCCCCCAAGTCGGTCAGCAGGTAGGTCAGCCAGCATAGCTCCTGTGCAGCCATGGCCCCAGCGTAGATCTCGGCCTCACAGCTGGAACCAAGCACAGAAGAAGAACGAGTGGACCTCCACGAGACAGAACCAGAGCCAAGACTGAAGGTGTAACCCTGTGACGAACGCTGAGTCGTCTGGTCGTCGGCCCAAGAAGCGTCAGAGTGTCCTGTGAGGACCACCGAACCCCGTCCTCCAAGCACGAGCCCCATGCCCGATGTGCTGCACAAGTAACGCAGTACCCTCTTCGCAGCATCAAAGTGCACCTTTCGGTGTCTACCAGGTGCCACGTAGCGAGCCAGGAGGCTGAGAGGGTACGCGAGGTCAGGTCGTGTGCACGTCATCAGGTACATGAGGCAACCCACAAGCTCTGAATACGGACCACTCGGCTCTACGGACTCGTCCGAAGGTGGAGCTGAGAGCGAATGGCCGGTAGACAGAGGAGTGGGCTGTGGCGAGGACCACGTGAAGCGGAAGCGCTGAAGGACCTGCTGCACCATGTGTGACTGAGTCAGGGTGATGGTGCACCGTGCTCTGTCCCGGGTGATCTGCAAGCCAAGATAGCTCCGCAGCTCACCCAGGTCAGTGCAGGTGTGTCTCTCCTGCAGCTCCGCCTTCACTAGGGCCAGTGCCTCAGTGTCAGCAGTAGCAAAAACCAAGTCGTCGACGTACACGAGGATGTAGAACGGCGGCACAGTAGTGTCGGTGCGTAGAAACAGCGACGGGTCAGCAGTCGAAGGAGCAACCCCAAGAGCCGCAAGCGTCGTCCTCAGTGTGTCGTGCCACTCGCGGGGCGCCTGACGCAGGCCGTACACTGGTCGCCGTAGGCTCCACTGGGTACCCTCAGGAAACGACCCAGTGAAGCCCTGTGGACGGCGCAACCAGATGGCCTCGTGAAGGCTACCCTGCAGGAAAGCTGTCGAGAATTCGAGGGAGTGCAGCTAGTAGTCACGCTGAGCTGCAACGTGTAGCAACACCCGAAGAGTGGTCATCTTCGGGGTGGGGGAGATAGTCTGAAAGAAGTCAACCCCCTCACGCTGACTGAAGCCTCGAGCAACGTAACGTGCCTTGAAGGCAGGCGGAGATTCCGGCGGCCGCTTCACCCTGAAAATCCACATGCCACTGACGATGTTCGCCCCAGGTGGGGGAACCTCGTCGACGTAGGTGCCTGTGGACTTCCAGGAAGCCATCTCTGCGTCCATGGCTGCCTGCCACTGAGAGGAGTACTCACCCGAAATCGCCTCCCTGTAGGAGCGCGGGGTGGGGATGTCAAGTGCATCCGGGTCTCCCTCAGGGGCAAGCAGCATGGTCGCGTGATGGGGTGAAGCGGCCGCAAGGCACTCCAGCTCCTCCTGTCTGTCCTCAAGAACGTCACAGCCAAGGGCAGTACAGCCAAGGGCAGTCTCACCACCGACGGACGGAGGACAGGCAGGGACAGGGTCAGAGACAAGACTCGCAAGGTAGTCTAGGCGGTACACAGCAGCAAAGTCAACGAGCTCAGCTACTAGGGCAGACACAGCAGGAGACGAGAACGTAGGGTCCGTCACAACCGTAGCAAGAAGGCGAGTAACAGTCGAACTGGACGCACGAGCAAGGTCAGACGGAGGGTCAGCAACGTCAGGCAGAGAGGACGCAGGAGGTAACGGTAGGACAACACGCTGAGGAACAGAGGAAGGTCGGAGTGTCATATCGTGAGTGCCGGGGACAGCCGGAGCACGCGGACGATGAACACGAGGACCACGAGCACGGACAGCAGCTCTAGGCTCATGCTCAAGGTCAAAGCTAGACTCAGGCTCTCGACGCTCAGGGGTGGAAGCACGAGTCTCAGGCTCTCGACGCTCAGTCAGGGACTGTGTCACCGCAGTGTAAGGAGCAGGAGCAGGCAGTGGGGAGTGCGGTAGCAGCGGCGGCTGAGACTGATCCACCGGTGGGCACAGTAACGGAAGAGTAGTACCTGCCACAGGGAAGCCAGTAGCACCTGGCGGAAGACTGAGAAGGTGGCGAAGAGCACCAGTAGCTCCACCAGGACCTCCAGCACCTCCAGCACCTCCAGCCCCAGCAGCTCGAGCACCTCTAGCACCTCCAGCACAAGCAGCTCCACGACCTCCAGCACCAGCAGCACCTCCAGCACTAGCAGCTCCAGTACCTCTAGCACCTCCAGCACCAGCAGTACCAGCAGCAGGAGCAACAGCTCCAGTAACTCTAGTGCCTCCAGCACCTCCAGCTCCAGCACCTCTAGTACCTCCAGTACCAGCAGCACCACGACCTCCAGCACCAGCAGCACCTCCAGTACCTCCAGCACCAGTAGCTCCAGGTCCTCCAGTACCTCCAGCACCAGTAGCTCCAGGTCCTCCGGTAGGAGCTCCGACGACACCAACACCAGAAGGACTCGCAGCACCCCCAGAGTCAGCACCCGAAATCGCAGCACCCCCAGAGTCAGGACCCTCGGTCTCAGCACTCTCAGTCCCAGCACCCTCAGGCTCAGTGCCCTCAGTCCCAGCACCCTCAGGCTCAGTACCCTCAGTCCCGGCACCCTCAGGCTCAGTACCCTCAGTCGCAGCACCCTCAGTCTCAGCACCCTCAGGCTCAGTACCCTCAGTCCCAGCACCCCCAGGCTCAGTACCCTCAGTCTCTGCTCCAGTGTCCACAGCAGCAGGCTGCAGAGGCGGCGAAGACGGCAGAGGTGGGAACCCAGGGGGGGTAGCCAGACGAGGAGAGTGGGCACCCCCGGACTTACCACCCCCAGGCCCAGCTCCAGTAGTCTCAGCTCCAGAGTCCACAGCAGCAGGCTGCGGAGGCGGCGAAGACGGCCGCGGCGGGAAACCCGAGGGGGTCTCCAAGCGAGGAGTGCGGCGAGTGGTTGCCGTGTCGTCGGCGACGGCGTCACCCCCCTCAGGTGAGTCAGCGGAGTCAGAAGAGATCTCAACTGGCTCATCCAAGGGGGGTGGGTCTAGCTGGGACACACCTGAGGGAGCAGGACCCTGTGGGGGAAGGGGGTCTACTTGGGGGGGGGGGCTGGTACCAGGAAGAGAGGTGCGAGGGGGACCGGGTGGGACGCGTGCGGGTGAAGTCGGTAGTAACAGACCGACTCGTCGAAGGTGACGTCCTGAGAGGACAGAACACGACGCGAGGCAGGGTGGTAGAACTGCCAGGGTGGAGCGTCGGTGGGGAAGCCCAGGAAGACACAGCGGAGAGTGCGAGGAGAGAGCTTGCTCGCTTTGGTATCGCGAACAAGGGAGAGCGCACCCCAGACCCGAAACGACGACGCATCACCAGGCTGTCCCGTCCAACGGAGTGTGGGCGATGTCTCTGGAGCAGAGACACGGGGCCAGAGGTTGAGCTGATGCGCGGCGTATCGGACCGCAAACGGCCACAGGAAATGGGGAGCAGCCGCATGTATCATGGAGGTACGAGCAACCTCCATGATCAGGCCAATGCGACGCTCAGCGATCCCATTTTGCTGCGGAGAGGCCGGAAGCGTGAACGACTGGGCGATGCCCTCATCCTGGCAGAACGTCTCAAGGACGCCAGAGGAGAACTCACCACCCCTGTCAGAGTGCAGACGCAGGACTGGAAAGTCCCGCCGAAACCGCTCGCGCAGCTGGTGACGAGTAGCACGGATCCAGGGGATCAAGACACCACTGACATCCGCCTTGCGCCGCAAGGGGAAGACGGTGGTGTAGCGTGTGTAGTCGTCAACAACCAGCAGGAAGTAGCGCTCCTGGTCCGTTCCACCGACAGGGGCCGGGCCCCACACGTCCAGGTGGAGAGTCTGAGAAGGAGCAGTGGTCGGAGGAAACTCGGAGGAGTGAGGAGCGGCGCGCTGCCGCCCCTCGACGCAAGGAAGGCACGGCGGCGCAAGCGAGCGCGGGAGGGGGCGCATGGTCGTAGGGAGGCCAGAGACCAGGAGCCGGGAGTGCATGTCGCGCAGACGCAGCTGCGACGGGTGGCCAAGACGGTGGTCCCAAAGCTGAGCAGGGTGGGTGAGGAGGCGACACGAGCAGGACGCAGCTACCTGTGCAGACTCTGTGGTGAGTGGTGTGTACAGGTTCGACCCCGGTTGTCGTGTGAACGTAGCCAGGTGACGGCCTGTCTTGGCGCATGTGCAGATCGCCACACGCTGACCTCCAGGAGTAAAGGTGTCAACCCATACATCCTGAAGGATGGCGTTGCTCACCAGGTTCGTCGAGAACGAGGGGAGGTGGAGACCTGACAAAGAGCCAGAGGGGACAGCTGGGCACGGGAGGACAGTGGAGTGGCGTGCAACCACCGGGCCCCCAGAGGGGTCCGCCAGTGAGACTGGGACTGGTGTAGTGAGTGGGGTGACAGTGGTGCAGTCGCAAAAGAAGCAACGTGACTCACCAGAGTCAAGTGTGAAAGTGTGCAAGACCTCAGCAGTAGCAGCAGACTCACTAGCACCTGGGGCAGTAGCGACACTAGCACCTAGGGCGGCAGCAGACTCACTAGCACCTGGAGGAGCAGCATCACCACCAGCATCGCACGGCACACACGAGTAACACGCACCCTCAACACAATAATCAGCAACATACATGGCATAGAGAGTAGCATTGATCTTAGCAAAGTCAAGAGCAAACACATCTACCCCCTTCCCCATCAGCTGCAGCCAGTTCGGCACCTGCTGGTCCTCGGTGTACTCAGTCACCCAGGCGTCCTCAAGACGGCCGAAGCACTTGTACTCAGTGTGCGGCTTCCCGCAGACTGTGCCCTTCAGAGGCCCCGTGCGCCGGACATAAGGGCAGCGACCAGAGCCCCCAGGGCCCCCACGCTGGAGAACCCACTCACGGAGCTGCTGGTCGGTGGGGTTGTCCGGGAGGCGCGGCAGCTGCTGACCACTCCCGTAGCCACGGGAGGGTCCACGAGCGCCACCACCCCTGCCAGACCCACCCCGACCTCCTCCGCCACCCCCGCTACCCCAACCGCCTCCCCCACCACCTCCGCCTCCTCCACCCTGTCCGCCTCCTCCACTGCCGCCACCCCCAGAGCCACCCCTAGAGCCTCCACCACCCCCGCCACCACCCCCGCCACCCCCTCCGCTGCTGCCACCACCACCACCCCTGCCCCCTCTGCCCTTGCTGTTGTTGCGCCTTCCACTGGGAGCAGACACAGCGCCAACGTCCTCAGCACCAAGGAGGTCGACTGCAGCAGCGGTAGCAACTGAGGGGAGGAGTGGGGAGGGAGTACACCCAACAAATAAGGGGGAGCGGGGAGTGCCAATAGAGGCAGCGAGAGCGACAGTGCTCTTCTCAGCCTCGAGAAGGGCCTGCTCAAGAGAGTCAAGTGTGAGCTCAGTGGGGTCCATGGCTAGGAACTGGTCCCTGACAGTGCGAAGGGAGTCAGGGAGGCGAGTGATAAGAAAGTACAGGGTGAAGTACTGCGGGGGGGGGGGGTTCTTAGCTGTCAAACTATATCTGTGCTAGTTTTATATAGGCTATAGTGGGGTAGCCCATATGGGGTACAACCCAATGTTAGGGTTAGTACTTGTACCCACAACTCATTCAATGCAGTCATCCCTGCTTGCTATCTTGACATGGTTTCAGAGCAGTAGGTCCGTAGGACCGTTTTTTTTTTTTTTTTTTTTTTTTCCGGGCCCACCCTACTTAGCGACCGACTGCGGTTACCGCGTTACCCCACTACCCTGCGTCGCACTGCCCCGCGCACGCCCTGCCTTGCCCCGCGTCGCGCTGCTCTGCGCACGCCCTGCCTTGCCCCGCGTCGCGCTGCCTAGCGCACGCCCTGCCCTGCCCTGCCTCGCGTCACCCTGCGCCAGCGCCCTGCCCTGCGCTAGCGCCCTGCCCTGCGCCAGCGCCCTGCCCTGCGCCAGCGCCCTGCCCTGCGCCAGCGCCCTGCCCTGCGCCAGCGCCCTGCCCTGCGCCAGCGCCCTGCCCTGCGCCAGCGCCCTGCCCTGCGCCAGCGCTCTGCCCTGCGCCTGCGCCCTGCCCTACGCCCGCGCTGCTGCCCTGCGCGTCGCGCCCTACGGCAGCCCGCGCGTCGCGCGCTGCTGCCCCGCGCGTCGCGCCCTACGGCAGCCCGCGAGTCGCGCGCTGCTATCCCGCGCGTCGCGCTCTGCTGCAGCCTGCGCGTCGCGCCCTGCTGCCCCGCGCGTCGCGCCCTACGGCAGCCCGCGAGTCGCGCGCAGCTGCCCCGCGCGTCGCGCTCTGCTGCAGCCCGCGCGTCGCGCCCTGCTGCCCTGCGCGTCGCGCCCTGCTGCAGCACGCGCGTCGCGCCCTGCTGCCCTGCACAGCGCGCGCCCTGCTGCCCGCGCCGCCCAGGCCGGGCCGAGCCACCGTACCCGACCCGATCCGCCCTGCTCGTGCTACTGCTGTTGCTGGTGGAGGTGCTGCTAGGAGTGCTGGAGGTGATGGAGCCTAGCTTCACCGAGCCGCTCTGCTGCTCTTACTGCTACTGCTACTCTTCGTGCTACTGCCTTCACTCCGTACTGCCCTAGAGGTCGCGCTCCTCCTAGCTTGCCCGCCATGACTTCACTCTGTAGTAGCGGTGGGAGTGGTGACGGCGGTGGTGGCAGCAGTGGGAGTGGTGGCGGCCGTAGTAGCAGTCACTGTGGCGTTGTTTGGTGCGGAGTTTCTGGCGGTGGCCAGATGCAGCTACGGCGACGTCCGACCCTTACGTCCCAGCAGCTTCGTGAGTGGCTTTACCAGCGTGGGACGTCTCCGAGTCCTGGTCGCTGCCCGTACGTCATTCGCACAGGTCGTCGAGCTGGTCAGACCTGTGGGACACCTGGTCACGCACAGTCCCGCTGCTTCGCCTATTTGAGTGACGCCTGGCACGCAGAGTTTGGCGACGAGGCTGAGATCCCCCACTGGCTTGAGCTGCTTAGGTCGGGCGTTGATGTCTTTGCTTTAGACTATGACGCCATCCTCACTGCTGTGTATCCTTTGCCTGGTGGTGGTGAGAGTGACTGTTACTTGTGTGTGCAGTACGACCCCGGTATAGAGGTTGCTGCTCTAGGTGCTAGTGAGGCTGCTGCCTTAGGTGCTAGCGAGTCTGCTCTCTCAGGTACTGCACCTGCTGAGGCCTTGCACACCTTCACGCTTGACTCAGGTGCTTCCCGCTGTTTCTTTCGCGACAGCACCGCACTCACGCCACTCCCTGCACCTGTTGCAGTGTCTCTGGCTGACCCCTCAGGGGGCCCAGTTCTTGCACGGTCCTCCACTGTGCTTCCGTGCTCGGCGGTTCCGTCTGGCTCACTGTCAGGTCTTCACCTCCCCTCGTTCTCTACGAACCTGGTGAGCAACGCAGTCCTCCAGGATGCATGGGTTGATACCTTTACCCCTGGAGGACAGCGTGTGGCGATCTGTACGTGCTCCCGGACTGGGCGTCACCTGGCCACGTTCACCCGTCGGCCAGGGTCGAGTCTTTACACACTGACTACTGAGTCCCCTCAGGTAGCTGCTACTAGTCAGGTGTCTGCGTCAGGTCAGGTAGCCTCCCCTTGTTCGTGTCGCTCCTTGTCGCACCAGACTCTTCTCTGGCACCACCGCCTGGGTCACCCCTCCTTGCCACGTCTCCGTGGCATGCACCGTCGACTCCTAGTGTCTGGTCTTTCCAGGTCTCTCCCTCCCCTCCCTGCCTCCCCTGCGCCGCCCTGCCTTCCTTGTGTCGAGGGGCGGCAGCGCGCCGCTCCTCACTCCTCCTCGTTTCCCCCGACAGAGGCTCCTTTGCAGACCCTCCACCTTGACGTGTGGGGCCCAGCCCGCGTTCGTGGACAGGGCGGTGAGCGGTACTTTCTGCTGGTTGTCGACGACTACTCGCGTTACACCACGGTCTTCCCCTTGCGCACCAAGGGTGAGGTCCCTGCTGTCCTGATCCCTTGGATCCGAGCAGTTCGTCTTCAGCTCCGCCGGAGGTTCCGCCAGGACCTTCCTGTCCTGCGTCTACACTCTGACAGAGGTGGTGAGTTCACCTCCGACCTCTTGCGGGCCTTCTGTCAGGGGGAGGGCATCGAGCAGTCGTTCACGCTTCCGGGCTCACCGCAGCAGAATGGGGTTGCTGAGCGCCGCATTGGCTTGGTCATAAAGATCGCGCGTACCTCCTTGATCCATGCGGCGGCTCCCCATTTTCTGTGGCCGTTTGCGGTCCGGTACGCCGCGCAGCAGCTCAACCTCTGGCCCCGTGTCTCCTTGCCGGAGACCTCGCCCACACTGCGTTGGACGGGAGAGGTTGGCGATGCGTCGCGTTTCCGAGTCTGGGGTGCTCGTGCCCTTGTCCGCGATACGTCCGCGGACAAGCTCTCCTCCCGCACCATTCCCTGTGTCTTCCTTGGCTTTGTCCCTGACGCGCCTGGCTGGCAGTTCTACCACCCCACCTCGCGCCGTGTCTTCCCCTCTCAGGACGTCACCTTTGACGAGTCGGTTCCTTTCTACCGTCTCTTCCCCTACCGCACTG